AATTTCGATGTAGATCTTACAATATCTCTCTGGGGAACTTAACTTTGAGAACAATTAAGTGAAACAAAAGGCTCGACAAAGGGTGAACTTATTTTTATAACTTTGTACAAGCATTCAAGTTTGCTTGAAAATGTTTTGTACAAAATTTTGGCTTTTTGATTTTTTTTATTTCCACTATCTATACCTGTTGTTATATTTTTGTTAAAAAAATATATAAAAAGAGAACACCAATACTGCTCTTAAAAAATATATATATTTAAATGTCAATCTATGTACATATGTATAATACAAGTATTTTGCTAATATAGAGTTATTAGGTTAAGTTGGTTTTTTTAAATTATAATATGTAAAAGTTAATCTTATGTGTATTTTTTTAGTTTTAATTTTGAACAAAAATATTTAGTTTTACTTATATTGTACGCGCTAACCTCTAGAACTACCTTAGTCAAATTTTTTTTGGAACATTAACACACAGCACCATCTACATAGTTCCATGGTAAGCTACGAGGCTTGTGTTATGGATACCAGATAGTTGATACACTACACATATATAACTTTAGATACATACATATTATAAATATGTTTTTGCTTTCAAGCTTATATTTATAATGTTAGAATAATAAAAATAAAACACTATATTTGAGGCCCAAAAACAATAAATATATACATAAATATATACTACAGGAAAGTAAAATACAAGAGGCGGTCTTATCGCTAAAACAGCCATTTCTTCCAAAGTAATGTTGCGGTGTAGAAAATAGTAAACTATGAGAGGGAAGGGCTGTGAATAATAAAAAAAAAGTTATATAATATACTAGCGACTCACCCTCGCTCCACTCGAGGTCGTCCCTAGTCACGTTTTAATGTTTAATATAGATTTCTGAGAGATGAAATATTTTGCCACAGTAAAAAGTATCTTATATGTTAACCCGGATAACCAGCTATCACCATACCAAATTTCATCAAAATCCTTCTAGTGGTTTTTCCGTGATGCGGTCACAGACAGAAAGTCTAAAAACTATAGATTCGGCTTCTGTATCGATAATAACGTCTATTTCAATAAGATTTTGAAAAAATATTTAATGTACAGATCGGCTTAGTTACAATTTTATTATATGTATGGATTATATTACCAAAAACCCGCCAAGTATGTGTCGATGGTTTCGTAGCATGAAACATTAAGCTTTAGTTATGTTTTCGTATTTTTTGACATTAAACTTTAGACGATACGTTTGGCTCAGTTTGTAGTGACCCTACTTGCTGTGCCAGCGGTCGCGGGTTCGAGTCCCGCTGGGGATATTGTGATGTGATGAGCACGAATGTTTGTACTCCAGTCATGGGTATTTATATTTAAAATATATATGTATTTAAAGTTATATATGTATAGTGTATCAAAAATCCGGTATCCATAACACAAGCCTCGTAACTAACCATGAAACTAGATGGTGCTGTGTGTTAATGTTCCAACATATTTATTTTATTTAGAAGAAAAATAAAATATCTATCCATCTACAATATTTCAACGTATCATCTTTAAAATATTTTTCTTTAAAGGTATTTCGGATGTTTAAAATGTCATCAATATTTATTAACATTTTCTAGCTCATACTTCAAAAGTTAGAGTGGGAATTAACAACTCGTTATACCTATAACTTGCCAACGATATTGGCTTGTACATAAAAGTAACTTAGAAGTTTTAAAATACGTATACAAAGAATACCAACAAGTGTAAAAAGGGTTAAAACTTTTTTCCACACCACATTTGCTTGTATGAAGTGTTACCCTATTTTCATAATTTGACTTCTGAAATTGAAAGACATGTATGTGTGTTTTTTTAAGCAACAGAACTCTAATAAGAAAATTGTACTGATACATCTATACTAATATTATAAAGAGACAGAAATTGTTTGTTTGTTTGTTTGTTTGTTTGTTTGTTTAAAAGCGCTAATCTCAGCAACTATTAATCCTATTAAAAAATTTTTTTGCATTAGATAGCCCGTTTATTGAGGAACATTATATGATATTATATATATTATATAATAGATGTCTATCTATTCCATACTAACCGTTAAATCGCACCTAGGAATGAACCCGAGCGAAACGAGAGTTAGTCGCTAATAAAATATAAGCGTATATAACAAATACATAATATTATTATGAACATAAAATAACATTAATATATTTTCATATTTACAAAGATAACAATATAATAAAATAAAAGGTAAAAACTACGATTTATACTAATATTTATGAACTTAATATTTACACGTACTTATAGAAAGAAGTAACTGTAAATAAGAAGAAAAAGAAACAATCAAAATATAATATGAAAGGTATCAAATACAAAATACAAATATTATAGACGAGCGATTCACCCTCGCTTCGTTTCGGTTTCGTCTCTAGACAAAAACAATTTATCCCACGGGTATCGTACATTTTTCCGGGATAAAATTAACCCATGTGCTATTCCAGACTATAATCTATCTCTTTGCCAAATGTCATCCAGATTCGTTCAGCCATTCTGGCGTGAAAGAGTAACAAACATCCATTCAAACAAAAGAGTTTTACAATTTACACAATTATTGAGTTTAAAATGTCGCTGTAGACGTATTTTATCTACATACTAGCGACTCACCCTCGTTTCGCTCGAGTTCGTTCCTAGTTACGTTTCCTAGTTATTTTCCCGCAGTAAAAAGTATCCTATATGTTGACCCGAATAACTCAATCACTCGGATAGCAAATTTCATTAAAATCTGTCCATTGGTTTTCTCGTGATGCGTTCCTAGATAGACAGCCAGACAAGAATTCTAAAAACTATATATTTGGCCTCTGTATAGATAACAATGACTATTTCAATAACATTTTCCTTTTTATTAATATTAAACTAGCATTGCCCGCGGCTCCGCCCGCGTTAAGATAACCAAAAACTAAATTCTTAAGTTTTACATATTAGTATACTCTTACAATGCAGTTTTTTGTATTTTTTCTCAGAAATGAGATATTTTCCCGAGGTAAAAAGTATCCTATATGTTGACCCGGATAACGAGATATCATCATACCAGACTTCATAAAAATCTGTCCAGTGGTTTTCTCGTGATGCGGTGACAGACAGACAGACAGACAGACAAAAAATCTAAAAACTATAGATTCGGACTCTTGTGTCGATAATAATGTCTATTTCAATTAGATTTACCAAAAAATATTTAATGTACAGATTCGGCTTAGTTACAATTTTACTATATGTATAGAAAATATTTTTTAATGTTCAGATTCGACTCAGAATTTTATTATATGTACAGATGTATAAAAATTTTAGAATTTTTCTTTTGTTTTGGTAATAAAAGAAAACAAGTATTGGTAGTTTGAATAAATCAGCCTTAAGGCGACGAATTGTTTAGAATCCCTCATAAATATATAATTTTCACAACTCACCTTGAAGTGTCTAAAAAGTTTTCTATTCATTACATTCAGACTACAAAAACTTTACGAAGTCAAAAGGTCAAGAGATCCTTAATAAAGGCTTCAAACGATTGATGAACCGTTTTATCCTTACTTTATTGACTCGAACTCCTTTATTGACTGTTTATATAAAACCTGTAAAGCAGCCTTCTCTATTCACACTATATAAGTATTTATTATAAGGCAGGTAGCCTAGTGGTAACTCACTCGCTTGGGAAGCCCAGTGAAGCGGGTTCAGTTCCCTGGTCTCGCACCTCTGATATTTTCATGTGCGAATCATTTCTAACATGATTACCACTTGTCGTACGGTGAAGGAAAATATCGTGAGGAAACCTGCATGTCTGAGAGAACATAGCAAGTTTTCGAAAGACATATGAAGTCCATCTACTAGCACTTGGCCAACGTTGTGGCTATGGCCTGATCCTCCTCGTACTGAAGGGAGGCCCGTGCCCAGCAGTGGGACGTTGTAAAGGGTGAATACATACGTTATTTCTAGTTGGGAAACCAAGTGAGTAATATATGTAATATCATGTACGAGTCATACATCTCTGAGAATCTAGCAAGTTTTCGAAAGACCTGATCCCCCTCGTATTGAAGTGAGGCCCACCCCTAGCAGTGGGACGATAAAAAAGCCTGATAAAAAATACAAGTATTTTTAGTATTAAAGCTTTTATCTCTAAAGTATTCATGCTATTGCATAATGAGCTTAAGTAATTAAGTTTTAATTAAAAGTGCTCGCCCAATGGTCGAAATTCGACCATTATAATCATTATTGAAAATTTGAGGAAAACATATATGAATAGAATTTACCTATTTATACAGGGTCATTTTTAATTTACTGAAAACCTTTTGAGAATATACTGTTTACATTATAACAACAACATCTGTAAGAAAAAAAATAATATTTCTTAAATTTTACAAAAATAAAAATATTTTTATTGTTCCTTCTAAACGGTAATAGTCCAGCAATTAGCAAAAGAAAGCGCGTCTCCGGTGGAGGGGGAGGGGTGGAGGGGGAGGGGTGGAGGGGGAGGGGTGGAGGGGGAGGGGTGGAGGGGGAGGGGTGAGGGGGAGGGGAGGGGAGGAGGGGGAGGGGAGGGGTGGAGGGGGAGGGGTGGAGGGGAGGGGTGGAGGGGGAGGGGTGGAGGGGGAGGGGTGGAGGGGTGTAGGAAGCCGCGCTTACTCATTAAAACTTGGCCAGATGCTAGATCTTTACCGTTTAGATGGTGCAAAACAAATATTTTTATTTTTGTATGAAAATTAAAATTTAAGAATTTTTTTTTTCTTGTTACAGATGTTGTTGTTATGATGTAAATAGTATATTCCTAAAAGGTTTTCAGTAAATTAAAAATGACCCTGTATAGCTAAAAAAATGATTTTTTTTATGTTAACACTAAAGCACATCAATGGCTATTAAACAAAAAAAAAAGAAAATAAATTGACAAATACTAGAAAGGAAAAGAAAGGTACTAAACTATTTTGTCTTTGCCTATTTATAAAAAAGATGGTATACATTATACAGGCTTCGAAATATTTTTTTAAGAAGAAATATGGTCTGATTTCAAACAATGAGGAAGTCCATGCCCAGTAGTGGGACGTTTCATCATCATAATCATATTCAGCCTGCTTTCGTCCACTGCTGGACATAGGCCTCTCCTATGGGACGTTTAAAAGGTTAGAATTATTAAATATTAATCTTAATAAACCACCTCATTATAGGTATTTTTTTTTCAAAAGGTTTGAAGTATAATAATATAGTAATAAAAATCACTTATAAATATCGCATAGTATGGTTATGAAACAAAGTATATGTATACGTTTAAACCTGTACAACTTTCTCTATGTCAAATTATACTCATAACCGTTGAGTCGTTTTCACAAAGCCATTAGAAACTTTCTTAATAATAAGAGCAATAAAAGCTATAGAGCATATAAAATCTTAAAATTAATTATCTACTTTGGTTTATAACTTTATTAATGCTCGTATATATTTTTCTGTTATTTATATGTATGTACTTTCTCTTTCTGTTCCACTATTTAACATTCTCTCATACATTTTTTTATATCAATCTATATATATTACTATTATTATAACGAGGAAAGTTTTTTGTTTGTTTGTTTGTACCGAATAAACTCCGAAATAACTGAACCGATTTATATGAAATTTTGTAAAAAGATAGTTTAAGACGCTGGGAAGAACATAGGATAGTTTTTATCCCGGCAATCATCTCTTAAAGGGATGAAAATGGAGATGAAAATTTATATGGGGAAGCGACCTAGGGACGAACCCGAGCAAAGCCTGGATGAACTGGATGAAACTCGGTTGTGGCGCTGTAGTCTGTGTGTGAACAAATTATTATTAGTTATAACATAAAGTCAAAGGGTTCGTTTTTTTAGTAGTTTGAACACGGGTGAAGCCGCGGTTACTCCTAGTTTTGTATAAAATATAAGTTGTATATTAGTAATCGTCCTTTAAAAAACTACAATTTTATACCTCAATGGTATTAGAAAAAAATAGACACAAATTAGCGCCTCAAATCCACCTTTTTTTTATAATATCCATAATACATAATATTCGTGTTATCAAGATGATTAAAAGCATCGAACCCACGACCTATAGAGCAAACGTACCTGATAGCACAGCTGGTACCATCTTCGTCGTCTTCCCTCTTTCGTCGTCTCCGACGAATATACAAGTAAGCAGCTACAGCAAATACTGCTGCTGCCGCTCCCACGCTTAGAAGAGATATTAAAACCACATCACGAGTCTTCATTGTGACCTGAAAATAATAATATTATTTAATATAACGGCTTCGATTTCCATTTAAGGCAATTATACTACTATTATATATGAAGGTTTGTATGTGTGTATGTCAACCCTTTACGTTAAAACGGCTGAACGGATTTGGATATTCATAACATGAGTAGTGATGATCTCTTGCTTCGCTCGGGTTCATCTATAAGTAAGACACATACGTACATATATCAATAAAATCTTCCAATTATCCATACAGAAACACCATATCAAACGAAAGTGCCTGTGTATGTTTTATTATAACATTTTTCCCTTGGGAATGCGATATTTTCACGCAGTAAATAACTTACCCTCTAGCCCTATAAAATATTGCGTCAATTCCTTTCGTTTTGGCGTGAAAAAAGTACAAACATATGAACAAACACCCTTCTACGGTTTAAAGTATTAATTTAGATAAATATTATTATACTTATTATATAGGTACGTTTTAATTTGTTTTAGCGGAACCCTAATTCTTTTTCTAATATTAAAGTAGTCTAAGTTACACCTTATAACCGGCAACCGTAGCCGTTTTGGAGATTAGCTGGAACAAGCAGACACACAAACAAAAAAAAATATATTGTGTTTTTCTTATATGTAAAGTATATAATCGTAATTTCGAAAGCATTCAGTAAAAAGCTGTTATTTTGACATTACAAACAGACACTTTAATTTTATTTATCTGTATAGATATTTAAAATTTAATAGGTATAAAGGTAGAAAAATTTCAACGTTTAAAAGTTACAATATCCAATTTGTTAAAGCAAACCGAATTCTCCTTTACTCGAACAATATATCGAGAAAATTTTCACTGAAGTTCTTTCAACAAGCTACTACAACTTTTCTCAATAAATTCCAGAAAACGTGCAATAAACAGAATACGAAGGTAATAATGTTACACATTACCCCTACTATTTTAAAGCTTAAAGTATCCAATAAGCTTTTAAATAATATATTGTATTTGTGTGAAATTTCTTCTATACTAATATTATTAACAGAAAAGTTTTTTTATTTGTTTGTTCGTTTGTACCGAATAAGCTCCGAAGCTACTGAACCTATTTAAATGAAATTTGGTAAGAAGATAGTTTTAGACCCTGGGAAGGACATAGGATAGTTTTTATACCGGAAATCATCCCTTAAGGGGGGGAAAATTTGTATGGAGAAGCAACCTAGGAATGAACCGTCGCTAGTTTATTTTAATTTATACCTTAAATACTAATTTAAAAAAACCTATAGGTCTTTATTCAAGATTTATTGAACTTCGAAACCAAATTTTATCAAAATTAATCTAGGTATTTCGTTTTTCGCTGATTTGAATCCGTATTTTTAGTAAAAACTAAGCAAATTGCTAGACAGATATACGCAATATACGTAATTACGTTCATAATACTTTTAAGTAACAACATACAAAAAAAGATCGATACCTAAATAAGCTGAAGAAAATTATTAGCACCTGTCTTTTCTCCAGGCCATAATCTATCTGTATACTAAATTTCATCCAAATACGGCCAGCAGTTTTATTCTAGAAAAGTAACAAACATACTACAAACTTTTTAATTTACAATAGTAATTCAATTTCTATAATAGGTAAAAATTAGCAAATGTTCTACAAATATAACCCCAAATAACAGACTAATGCGATGTTCATTCCAACTCGCGGTGATAATCTGAGTAATAAATCCAGCTTAGGCTAGCTTACCTGCCTTTAACGCACAAATTATAGAGGTACAAGGATTTTAACGAATTTAAATCAGCTTAGAAATTTTAGAGAGTTGTTACAAATAGACAAACATACAAATGTGTAATGATTATTTGGGTTATGTTATACTAACGACTCACCCTTGATTCGCTTGGGTTCGCCCTTAGGTTGATTCTCCATGCAAACTTTCATCCCCATTTTCACCACCTTTATAGATCAGGGATGATTTCCGGGATAAAATTATCCTATGTCCTTTCTAGAGTCTCAAACTATCTTCTTACCAAATTTCATCTAAATCGGTTCAGTAGATCCAGAGATAACCCCCTATAACCTCACAAACTCACAAACTTTACCTCTTTATAATATTAGTATAGATGTAGTCAGGATTTCCACTTGACTGAATTTCGCTAAAGCATCCAATATCTGAGACTAGCCATCTGTATGGAATATATTATAGAACACTATCAGTGTATGAGCATATACAGATGCACTATTTACCGTCCCATTTTTATAATATGATTTTATCATTACGTGCAAATTATATATATTATATAAATAATAAAAAATAGCTTGATTCGCGATACAAACTTTCACCTCCATTTTCACCCTCTCAAGGAATTATTTCCGGGATAAAAAGTATCTTATGTCCTTCCCAGGGTCTCAAACTATCTTCTTACCAAATTTCATCTAAATCGGTTCAGCAGATCCAGAGATTACCCCCTACAACGTCACAACCTCTTTATAATATTAGTATCGATTTTGTCATTAGTAAATTATGGCACTAAAGTATATATTTCATTATCAAATGCCTTTTTAACTTTGAACGGTGATTAAGTTTCTTGATAGAAAAGCAAATTAACTGTTTTGTTTCACACGGGAATCAAACTCAGGATCGCAATCTCAGTGAAACGTCACACAGCTAGGTGTCTTTTTGCTGCACATTTTGATTCTTTATTTCAATTATTAGGCATTAAAATAACTTAACGGTCAGATTTTTTCTAATTTAAATTAAAACTTAATATGATTTTTGGCAAAAAATAATTTTTTAATGAAATAAAAAATACTATATAGCACTCTGTGGTAATGAAGCTTCCTATTTATGAAAGAAATTTCATAATCAAATTATTTGACGACACGTTGGGCTCAATTTGTAGCGACCCGATTTGCTGTGTTAGTGGTCGCAGATTCGATTCCCGCTGGGGGCATTCATTTGTGTGATGAGCACGAATCTTTGTACTCTAGTCATGGGTGTTTATATTTATAATATGTATGTATATAAAGTTATATATGTGTAGTGTATCCCCCGTAGCTTACAATGGAACTAGATGGTGCTGTGTGTTAATGTCCCAACAATATTTAAATCGGTAGTTTCAAAGAACATCACCTACATCCAAACATTTATAACATAACGAATTTTAACTTTTTATATTATTAGTTTAGATATAATTATAATCAATCATGATATATGTACATACAAACATACGTATTAAAATAACGATTATTATATTAAATCAAGTTTTTTAAACGTAGCTTAAATTGTCTTAATTAAGAAAATAAGCTACTCCATTTCAAATTTTATTTTTAAACTAGCGGCTCACCCTCGCTTCGCTCGAGCTCGTCCCTAGGTACGTTTTAATTTTTTTGAGCGGAACCCTAATTCTTTGTCTAAAATAAAAGTAGCCTAGGCTATTTTCTATAACAACAACTATCTTCCAGTCAAAGTCCCATCAAAATTAGTCCAGCCGTTTCAGAGATTATCCGGAACAAACAGACAGACAAAAAATTTAAAAAATGTGTTTTTCTTATAAGTACCGTATATAATTTCATAATATGCATTTAATAAAACACTGTTTGTTATTTTGACATTACTAACAGACAGACACTTCAATTTTATTTATCGGTAGTTTCAAAGAACATCCCCTACATCCAAGCTTTATAATTTAACAAACTTTAACTTTTTATACTATTAGTCTAGATATAATTATATAATCAACCATATTATATGTACATACATACATACAAACGTATTAAAAGCACATTTTTTATCTTAAATCAAGTTTTTTTCAAAACGTGGCTTAAATTGTCTTAATATTAAGTAAATAAGCTTCTCTATATCAAATTTTATTTTTAAATAACATACATTTAAAACACCCTACGGAAAGGGGGTCAAAGGTTTTCAAACCAAATGTAGTGGAAATTCAAGAACTACTACGAGCAAAATTTGGCAAAATTCCATTTATTTTGTTACACACCACGTACTCCATTACAGTCCTTACCGTATAAAGAATAAGTGCTATAATAGTTTGAAAGTATTTTATTGCATATAAATTTTCTTAGATGTGGTGTAGCTTTAAGAATTGCAGGTAAGCATTATAACTGAAGCCTGCATCTTCTTTTTTAATTACATACAAAATGGCTTAATAGTTTGGAGATCTGTAAAACCAATATAAAACGACTTTTTTTTTAATTTTACAGATTTTTTCTCCAAATTATTGTATAATATTTGACTGACTTCCAAAAAGGAGGAGATTCTCAATTCGTCGGAATCTTTTTTTTTTATGTATGTTCACCGATTACTCGAAGACGCCTGAACCGATTTGGAAATATATTTTTTTTGTTTCAAAGGGTTTATATACTTCCCAGGTGGTCGGTGCCAGCCTACAAAATTTTAAGATATGAATATCTAATAGGTAAATATGTATTTTACGTATCGAAATATATTAGATTTGGTTTGCATCGGCTGGCACCGACTTCGAAAATATGTGATTAGGTATCTATCCATACATATAATAAAATTCTAACTAAGCCGGATCTGTACATTAGATATTTTTTGGAAAATCTTATTGAAATAAACATTATTATCGATACAGAGGCCGAATCTATAGTTTTTAGAATTTTTGTCTGTCTGTCTATTACCGCATCACAGAAAAACTACCGGAAGGATTTTGATGAAATTTTGTATGGTGATAGCTGGTTATTGGGGCCAACATATAGGATACTTTTTACCGCGGGAAAATTTCTCATTTCTGAGAAAAAATACAAAAACTGCAATGCGAAAAAAAACCCCTTGGTAAACACTAGTATTAACTAAATATTAGAAATGCCACTTAGCATTTACGACAACAATATTAAATTCACTTCTATAGATGTTTTGAACATAATTCTGAAGTATACATTGCAATAACAATTTCTATCTAAAATGTCCTATATCAACATGATCGTATTTCATTTTTATTAGGTCGAGCCATTAGGTAATCGAAGGTCTACAAGCGATTCTATAG